AATTAAATGTTGCTGAAACAGCAAGTTTCTCAGTGGATCTACACTCAAAAATGCAGCCTAGGTGGAGTAGTCGAACACAGATCCACCGATCCTTCAACACAGAGCTTCTTCAGAAGACAAGCTGATAAAATATATTTTAAAAATCTGTATTGTTTGATACAAGTGTGTATTGAACCTAAAGAACTGTTCGATACAGGTACATGTATTGTTGCACCCCTGCTAAATTTATGTTTATTATATCCCCACTCCAACTGCAAAGAAGATTGTTGTGTTTTACCCAAATATCACAGCTCAAAGGTTTGACCAAAACACCAGAATCTGAAGCTCAAATTAACTTAGAATATGTCCAAAAATGTCACAGRGAATATGCAACAATGACTCAAAAATCAAGTAATCATACTTTTTTCTTTTAGGTTACTATTAATATGAACATAGAAAGGATTTTTTTTCTTCAATAATTACCCAGGATGTGCTTGCAGATGGCAAATGGGGATTTGGACTTTCTGAATGAGAGGAAAACATGTTCAGCGTGTTGTCTCTGTTCTGTGCTGACCATGGACGGCGGTGCCTGGAAAACAAACAGCAGCAGCGTTTAAAGACAAGGCTRGCTTGTGTGGAAGTGAGAAACTTTTAAAACAATAAACTCACAGCTGTAATCACAGCTTTCAAAGCTCTGTCGGTTTAGTGTATTTTAACTGAATCACAAATAACAGCATAGAATTATTGAATTATACCAGCATCCCTCTCATTATAATATGAACGGTTTTTACAGTTGAATAACTAAAAGTAAAAACACAGATTTTATTGAGGAGCATCTCCATGATACCACTCAGCGGGAAAGTCACATTCCAGGCCTAATTGCACTAAAAGCAGCTCTGTGGCTGAAGGCAGCAGAGGAAAGAAAGAATCCTTTTACCCAAGAAAACACAACACACACAACTGAACAAGAAATCACACTTCAAACCACACAAAGTGCCAGGATGAGATGGCACACACGAAACATAAAGACAATCAGCAGATCAACACTGATGTARTCTGCTCCAGGACCAAACCTAAAATCTGTTTTTTAGTTTTATTAAAACTAAACATGGTAAACGGGGTGTCATTTCTGGGACTGTTTGGTACATTTCTGACCCAGTTACATACAAGAGGGAAGACTGAAAGCTATATTTTTTGACACAACAATAAAATTGACACTTCTTCACTCTACAGGATCCTCAAAGCGCCATGCTAAGGGACTCGGGCTGGTTGGTGTGTTCTCACCAAAGTGAGCAGATGTGTCCTTTATTCAAAGTGGTTCCAACATAAAATTAAAAAGAATTTTTATTGTGCTTTATAAAATATGTACAAATTATGCATAATAAAGTTCTGATGCATCTCAGTAACCCAGGAGGAGAAACCAAAAAGAAAAAGTTAAGTAGAGACAGGTTCTTCTTTAAAATTTTGAGACTCCAGTCTGAGGAGTTTCAGGTGAACTCAAGCCTTGTAAGCTCCGCCCCCACATGGTGGACAAACACATTAGTCACATGCAAAAGAGGACCATCGCCTAACAATAGGCTTGATTAGCTCTATTAAGTCACATGCAAAAGAGGACCATCGCCTAACAATAGGCTTGATTAGCTCTATTGTTCATAGAGGGTCATGAGCCCTGAATCACCTGACTATCCTTGGGGCCCTGATTCACACCAGGGGCCTCATGTATAAACGGTGCATGTGCACAAAAAATGTATCAAAACCAACGTTGCGTGAAATTGTGCATATATTTACGCACATTTTTCACCTGCCTTGAGAATGTGCGGCAGCCGCACAAAGTTTTTCAGTCGACAGTTTTAACCCGCAAAGTCATTAATCTGACCTGTATCCACAGAAATATGACTTTGTTGTGTTTTCTGGATGTAAGGAGCATGTGAACACGCTGTCAGATTTTTATTTTAGTTTGAGTTTTTATTGTTTAAACTGAACGATCATGAAACTGAACCCCAGGACTGAAAATCATTTAACCTCAGACAAGAAAATAGATCAGTCTAAAAATGCTCAAAGAACCTCAGTCCAGTCTGTAAACGGTTTTATATTTTTGTCACATAGCTGAAAATCTTTTGGGTCCCGGGCCAGAAAAACCCGACACATTACGTGTGACATAAAAAAATAATAACAAAATAAAAAAGGCTGAAGAGAGGGAGCAAAATCGGATGCAAATGGTGGCTCACTGTACGGTAAGAATAATTATTTTTTCTGTGTGTAACCTTCTGGCTGATGCTGAGTTGTGGCCGTAGCGCAGCAGGCTCAAGCTTTGGGTAGATTATTGCACCAGGCGCACGCACCCTCGCCAGCTGGGAAGGTGTTCATACGTATATGTCAACCCCTTTGGACGTTTACCTGTCTAACGAGCCTCAAAAATCTATATTTTTTGCAAAAAATCCGTAGGCTACCACTCGTACCCGCTCGTGGGGGTGGGGTGGGGGTCTGTACGTGGAGATGACAGCGCCTGCTGTAACGCAGGAAAGCAAAGGAGAGCAGAAAAAGTGGATAACGTAATGTTTATTGTTTTTTTTTATTTCATTTTAATTAACTTTTTTTAAACGTCCGTTCAACGCCGTGTTCAACTAAATAGACAACAACAAACCAGGCTTCAACATCACATTTGGGAGATGTCTGTAAATTTCAGAAAAATCTCAGCTTTGGTTATCCCGTGCGAATGCGCCACTTAAAACAATGACMCMCACTAYTTATTTAGACAGTTTTCTCACTCAYTTACAGTTTAATGTATAATTTTCCTGCATCTAAAAATCATCTCTGATCCCACAGAGAGGAATCTGAGAAGAATCTCACACGCTGGACACATTTACATCTATTTTACAGATTTAAATGGAGGTGTATCAGGGGAGGTGTCTCACGTGCGCTCAGTTCCACGTTCATTGGGATGTATAAAGGAAAGGTGCGCAGGAACATGAGTGCGCACAGTTTTATACATCTGAATATTTTGGTGCGGCGCACTTTTCTAAACGTGTCCGTACGTCAACTTTTAGTGTGAAAGCTGCGCAATCCTTTATGCATGAGGCCCCTGATCACAGGGTCATACTTGCAATAACAGCATTGTAAGAGGGGGACAACTGCTGCTTTTTACACCACTCTCTGCAGCAGAACCACTCTTTCCACAGAACAACTGTGCCTGGAGTCAATCTACTTCACAAATGGGGACAATAATATAGGCAGAAACATGGGTGTACTATGGGCTCCCCAGTTTYCCCTATTGTTGCAAACCTGTACATGGAGGAGGTGGAAAAGAGAGCTCTGATGTCCTTTACAGGGACACCACCGAGCCATTGGTTCAGGTATGATGATGACACCTGGGTTAAAATTAAATACCAGGAAGTCCAACATTTCACCCCAAAGATCCAGTTCCCCGGCAAAAACAGAGAAATATAGTGTATGCTGTTAAGTGTCAGGAGGACTGTGGTCAGTCATACATTGGGGAAACAAAACAGCCACTGTTCAAAAGAATGAGCCAGCACAGACGAGCTACAGCATCAGGCCAGGACTCTGCAGTTTACACTCATCTACAGGTCAGGACTCTGCAGTTTACACTAGGAATGCGTGATATAAACGATATACGGTAGAAATGATATAAATTTGTCCTATGATAGAGATCTGTAGTCTACCGGCCAACCGCGCAATTATTTTTGATGACTTAACCGGCTGGAGTCAAAACAGAGGAAGCAGGAAGCAGCGTGGCTGAGAGCGTAAATGAAGAGGGGTAAAAAAATAATAACTTATCCGGACCACTGTTTAYGTTTACGTGACGGTGCGCCTGCAGCGGGAGGAGAGCGCACAGCGGCACATGGTGACGCAGCGAGGCTGAGAGCGCAAATGAAGAGGGGTAAAAAAAAAAACAACTTATCCAGACCTGGTTCGGGTGTGCGAAAATGAACGCCGAACTGTTTACGTTTACGTGATGGCGCGTCCTCTGGTCAGTTGCCGAACGACCACACTGCCCGCAGCGGGAGGAGCGCGCACCGCGGCACATGGTGACGCAGCGAGGCGACAGTCAGTGCAGGTGAAGTCAGTGCTCAGGTGTGACGCAGAAAMGCTCTCTGAGTCTGGACCTCGTTTCTCCTGCGGTCATAGCGCAATACTGTCTCCTTGTACAGCGGGGAAGCGCTGTGGGAAAGGCTGACAGACTGTCTTTCCAAAAAAAAA